ACCCTTTTTAGTCTCTAGAAAGTTGTGAGAAGTTGAAGCAAAAGACCAAAGGAAAAAGTAGAGTTGAAAGTAATAGACTATAAATCAGGATATTATGGCCTCATCTCTAATTTCCTGTGTGTCTTGAGTGCATTCTTAACCATTTATATATCCATTTCCCTATATGTGATACAGGATTCACATGAAGAATTGATTCCTATATGACAGATATAAGGAGACTTTAATCAGAAAATAGATGCAAATCATGTTGGAGGAAACTTTCTGAACCAGAGAAAAAGCATCCATGAAAAACCCACAGCTAACACCATACTGAAAGGTGAAAGATTGAAAGCTTTATCCCAAAGATCAGGAATAAGAGAAGACTATCTGCAATTCTGCTATTCAGTATTGTACAGGAAGTTCTGCCTAGCTTCTAGGTAAGAAAACGAAATAAAAGACATTAAGATTTTTTAAAAAAGTAAAACTGTTTATATGAAATGTCCAGAACAGGTAAACCTTGTAGGGACAGAAAGTAGATTAGGGGTTTCCAGGGCCTGGGGGATGATGGCTGGTAGGAGTGACTGCTAATGAGTTTGAGGTCTCTTTCAGGTGATAAAAATGTTTTCAATTGTGGTGATACTTGCACAACTCTGTCGATGGAATTTTAAAAAGATATTGAATTGTGTACTTTAAGTGGGTAAATTTTATGGTATGTGAATTATATCTCAATAAAAAGGAAAAACACAGAAAAAAAAAAAAAAGAACATTGGAAAAGTTTTTTTAAGACAGAATTTCCCTCTTGTTGCCCAGGCTGGAGTGCAGTGGTGCAATCTTGGCTTACCGCAACCTCCACATCTTGGGATCAAGCGATTCTCCTGCCTCTGCCTCGGCCTCCTGAGTAGCTGGGATTATAGGCATGCACCACCATGCCTGGCTAATTTTGTATTTTTAGTAAAGACAGGGTTTCTCCATGTTGGTCAGGCTGGTCTTGAACTCCCGACCTCAGGTGATCCGCCTGCCTCAACCTCCCAAAATGCTGGGATTACAGGTGTGAGCCTCTGTGCATAGTTTGAACAAACATACATACAGTTTTTTTAGAGAATGACCATTAAGTGCTTAGGGACTAGCAAAAACAGATAAATAAAGCGCTCTTACTGACCAACTCCCAAGATAGGGGTATAGCCTTGTTATACAAACCCACTGCCCATCCACAACCAACTTTTACTCTTTTCCTTTGTCTTTGATAGCTAAACTAATGTACTGTTAGAAAAAGACTGAGACTAAAGGTAGCCCAACAATTTAGAGATCAGAAGCCCAAGACATATGTCTAATTATTAATGTTTTGAAGAGTTTGGAAATTCCTGTTACTCCATCACATCACTCAGGTTTTTCCTCTCAGAGAAAGCTAATATTTATAATAAAAAGCTTAGGTTTGAGTGACACTTAATTTACCCATGGAAAAACGTGCACATGTACCCCCAAACCTAAAAGTTAGAAGAAAAAAAGATACAAAATGATTTTCTTAATGTGGGTTCTTATTACAATGACCTATCTAGTTTGTTAATTAGAGTCATCTCTAGTTCTATGATGATGTGTTGTTGGTCAAGGATATTACCACCACTGCTGCTTTCTGTTTTACTTTTGAAAATGAGTAATATTTTGATAGGCAGCCAAATCATATAAATACAGTAGGGACAACAATCCCATCTATATACGTGATGCCATTGGTGACAACTGGTTATTAGGAAAATTTACATGGAATTTCTTATTTTCTCTACGGTTTTTCACTGTAGTGATAAATTAACACTACCAAGGGTGACTTAATCACATTTCACAGCATGTTTGAAGACAACTTCAAAAACAACTTCCAGGGGAAATTGGACTTGAGCTTAACTGCAAAACAATCAGTATAGCAGAAATGTATTATTTGGTGTGAATTAATTGGTAGAGGACAAATCACTTCAAGAAATCATTAAACTATATGCAATGCCTAATACATGCAGTATTTAAAAAACAGATTTACCTAGGTTCCTCTATTCGAGTCCACCTTGTTCTCTACAGCCTGCTACCTTTAATCTGAAAGTTGGAAAAATAAATCTAGTGAACTTTTGTCATGACATGGCAAACTCACTGGCCATAGGATACAAAAATTATCTTTCACATTTCTTTTTTTTTTCCCTTGGCCATACAATGAGTCTTATCTAATTTTCCCATGTAATGTCTCTGGGACTCATCCTTTCTTCTCCATTCTTGTCATATTACTCACATCTAGGGGTTTATTGACTCTAGTTTATTGCAATATCCACGTAACTGGTTTCCTAATTTCCATCTCTCTCTACTTCAAATATATCTGGCAGCAAGATAAAAGATTACATTTCTGAAAAATAACATTTAATTAAGTAATCTCTCCATTAAAAAACCTTGGCTAGCTCTCCCATGCCTACTGAGTAAACTCCAAATACCATTAGCCTGGTATTTAAGGCCTTCCAAAATCTCGGTCCAAACATTTTTTTTTTTTTTTTTTTCAGACATAATCTCGTTCTGCCACCCAGGCTGGAGTGCAGTGGTGCGATCTTGGCTCATTGCAAACTCCACCTCCTGGGATCAAGTGATTCTTGAGACTCAGCCTCCTGAGTAGCTGGGATTACAGATGTGTGCCACCATGCCTGGCTAATTTTTTTAGTATTTTTAATAGAGACAGTGTTTTGCCATGTTGGCTAAGCTAGTCTTGAACTCCTGGGCTCAAGCGATCCGCCTGCCTCAGCCTCCCAAAGTGCTGGGATTACACGCATGATCCCCTGAGCCCAGCCTGTATTTTCTAGATTTATCATCTACCACCTCTTGGACAAAACTGTTTTCTTTATCATCCCCTGAACCTCCACAAATTATTTTTGCACCTTTGCTTATGATGTTTCTCCTGCCTAGAATACCCTACTCCATCTTTGGAAGCCTGTTCAAAGCTTAACTTTTCTTCACTAAATTCTCCCTGAACGTTTACAATTCACAGTGATCTCTCCTTCTTTGAATGTGATTTTAGTTATAAATGGTGTCATTCATTTGGCAATATATGACTTTTCCTGTCATACATGGCTAATTCTATACTATTTAATTTTGTGTGTCTTGCTTCCTCAACTAGACTGCAAGCTCCTTGGGAATAGGGGCCATTTATTACATTAAAAAATCTGCCCACAGTGCATATTGCTGTGCTAGGGCCATGACAGGGACTAGTTACAGACAGAAGAGCACTGGAGTCTCCCCAAGTTGCCTCACTCTCAGATTGCATCATTTACTAGAGATGACCATTCCTCACACATACATACCAAACATAATCACTTTAAAGGTGAAATTAACTCTGTAGGTTACTCCAAGATATTAAGGAATTATAAACTGCCTTAGAAACATTTGTGAGTCCCCTATTAAAATCCCAAACTAACTTTTAATAAATAAGTTCATGTTCCTCTGAAAGCTTAAAAATGACATATAAAGAAAAATGGCCCCCCAAAAAAGTAAAAAGAAAAATGGCCAGGCCAAAAAAAGTAAAAAGAAAAATGGCCAGGCCAGGAGCATAATCCCTAGGATTTACATGATCACAAAGTGCTCAAAAAGCCAAGGCTCTGTGTAATCCAGTGATATTTGGTGACTGTTTTTTCATCTGTAAAACTGGCTAAACCACATAAGGAAAATAAGTGTAGGCCAGGCATGGTGGCTCACGCATGTAATCCCAACACTTTGGGAGGCCAAGGCAGGCAGATCACTTGAGGTCAAAATTTCGACACCAGCCTGGCCAATATGGTGAAACCCTGTCTCTACTAAAAATACAAAAATTAGCCAGGTGTGGTGGTGCACCCCTGTAGTCCCAGCTACTTGGGAGGCTGAGGCAGGAGAATCGCTTGAACTCAGGAAGTGGAGGTTGCAGTGAGTCAAGATTGCACCACTGCACTCCAGCCTGGGCATCACAGCGAGGCTCCAACTCAAGGGGAAAAAAAAAGTCTAGAACTTGAAGTTCCCATAGAAGGCAGCCAAAATGATATGGATACATCAAGCTAAAAATGTCATTCACATCTTGGTTTCTCCTGAATTATTTAGGCAATCTGAGATTTCTTCATAGATAGAAATATAATCCCAAGCTAGCAGTTGCCAAATCTGTGGTGGTTATATACCTTGACCCAAGACATGCTGCAACCATCAAGTTCTAATTAAAATGTTTATTAATCTTATAATTGAAGAAAATAATCATTACATAACTCCTACCTCAGAATGCTATCAAAGCTTTGAAGTTCTGTGGGATGTACTGACTGCAATCTCAGAAATGTTTTGTTTAGCTTTGTGGATGACTCCAGATGAAGTTTTGGCAACAAATGCTGCTTGCCCTATATAAATCCCTTGGATAACTTGTATATAGAAGGGAAACCTAGTAGATTACCTAGCATCGTCAGATCAAAACTGCAAGGAATAGTAAGCTTGATACACACACACACACACACACACACACACACACACACACACTTTTTTTTTTTTGAGAGGGAGTCTTGCTCTGTTGCCCAGGCTGGAGTGCAATGGCACAATCTCAGCTCACTGCAACCTCCGCCTCCTGGATTCAAACGATTCTCCTGCCTCAGCCTCCTGAGTAGCTGGGATTACAGGCGCATGCCACCATGCCCAACTAATTTTTGTATTTTTAGTAGAGATGGGGTTTCACCATGTTGGTCAGACTGGTCTCGAGCTCCTGACCTCGTGATCTGCCCGCCTTGGCCTCCCAAAGTGCTGGGATTACAGGCATAGCCTATTTATAAGTATATCCTTTCCTTTTGAAATTTTTCTGTTGGTTCCTTTAGCCCATCCTTGACTACTGGTTGGCAAAGATTCAAATGATATCCCCATTTGATAGATGGATAAATATCTGTGTATTATGGAAATATTACCAGTTTTCTTCTCCTCATACCAAGGATTAGTATGATAATGAATTGAGCTTCTTGTCAAGAAAAATGCCAAGTTCAAAGTATTATTTCTTTCACTTCTAATTACAAATAAGTTTTACCTTTTATTGTATTTCATTATACAATTTTACATAGTACCATTATTTTAAGCAATAATTAAGCAAATTGAACTACTGTTTTTGAGCTCTACTTTTCAGCATATAGATTTATCTAAAAAAGTACAAACCAAGCACAGTGGTGCAATTTTCCAGGCACTTTCAAGTTGCTTAAATATTTACAAATATGTAAGCACCCTGTTGGAATGCATGAAAATTTTGGTGTCAAGAAGAAACACTCCATGTATGTCAAATCTTTAAATTTTAACATTTGCACAGCTCCAAATATTCCTGAGAAAAGTCAGTCTCATTGTCATGTACATCTGCATTTCCTCACACTTCAGTGTATCTTGGGGAACCATAACCTCGGTCACTCGATGTACCACTAATTGCACAAAATACATGTAATGTGTTGCTCATCCAGGGAGAATGCATTGTATCTTCTTGTAATATCTAAAACAAAAGAAATCAGCATGGTTATCATGAGGCAAAATAGCCACTGCCAAAAAAAAAGAATGTGTATATGAAATTACAGGCGTATTTCAATTTATCACTGACACTTAGCTATTTAAAAAGACAGAAAGCAGAGAGAGCAAAGAATAACATTACCGACTTAAGTCTTCAAAGCTGTATTACAAAGGCAGCATATCAAAAAAAGCAGAAAAGATCTAGTTACTCATTAAGATAAAGATTGTAAAATGCAAAATTCAATAAAAAGCAAGAAGTAACGCATCTTTAAAATATTTTTTAACAGATGGTCATAACAAGAGCTCTAACAGTAGACTCTGATATGAGTTTATGAATCATCTTCTAACACAGTGGTTCTCGGAATCAGCTATTGGACTTCTGAAACATGTAGATACCCATGCTCCTTCTCTGGAGACTTGAAAATAATACTAAATGAAGATAAAAGTCTTAAGTGCATATTTCTAAAGACACACTATAATTGTATAAGTTAATTGACGCAGAAGATTTTTCTTGGAAAGGAAGAACTTCATAAATATAAAATATAATTATATTCCAATAAGTATATAAACATAGACATTCATATTAGTTTAAATATTTTAAAAATAATCCATTTTGTGTAATCCAAAGAAAAAGCAACGTAAGTCTTGTGCTTAAAGTAGATGGAGGAAAAAAACAGAGTATATACATTATATCCAATCTCTTTACCATAAAGTCCTAACTTAGATCTCAAGCTTTCAATAGTTGGTTCTCAAGTTAGTTGTGAAACTTCAGTATTAAGCCCACAGATTGATTTATAGTGGCAGTACTGAGACATATCATTTGTGTTGCTATAAATCATAAGGTTTAAATGAAATTTATAATAGAGAAATTTCCTCTTACAAAAATATTAACTCATGACACTAATCTGAAAGCGTACTAGAATGTTAAGAGACGAATAACTGATTATGCCTGTCAGATGTGACAGGCCAGGAGGGTACTTATTGCTAAGAAATTATGAAACATACCAAACAGATGCTACAATGACCACCCCCAACTCTAAGAAACCTGCAATTAATAGATTTATGATAATATAAATGCTTTTAAAAATCAAAAGCAGCCAGGCATGGTGGCTCATGCCTGTAATCCCAGCACTTTGGGAGGTTGAGGCGGAAGGATCACGAGGTTAGGAGATCGAGACCATCCTGGCTAACATGGTGAAACCCTGTCTCTACTTTTAGTACTTTTAAAACAAAAAATTAGTTGGGCGTGGTGGCATGTGCCTGTAGTCCCAGCTACTCAGGATGCTGAGGCAGGAGAATCACTTGAACCTGGGAGGTGGAGATTGCAGTGAGCTGAGATTGCACCACGGCACTCCAGCCTGGGTGACAGAGTGAGACTCCATTTTAAAAAAAAAAAAAAAAATCAAAAGCTTGAAGAAGTTTTTGAAAGGACTATATATTCTGGTATTCTGTAACAGACTACACTGAAAAGGGACAAGGAATATCCACCCATGTCTTTTTATCAAGTAATCATTTATGGAGCTCAAGAGAATATCTCAAATTTCAGTACACATTAACACTTTGTCTTATTTTTCAGTATTAACATATGCCTCAAAGTATATGACTACAAGGTGGCTCTCTTTTATATGAAACTCAGTTCACTGTAAAGTCAACATTTGCCAAAAGTGAGGCACACCCAAATATGGTTCCTAATGACAGGATGGCTTGCATAAAGATAAGCCAATACAAGCTAAGAGTTTTCTTGGTTAGCTATCAACATATAATATTAAGAGTCTAAAATATTGGTCTCTATAATGAAGAGAAATAAGCTATCCTTTTTGGGAATAACTGATACAGACAAGTGGGAAATACGACAGATTTGAAAAATCCATGCTTTGAAAGGAAAACAAAATTTTATAAAATGACCAGTCAGAATATCTTGATCACAGTAATAACAGTAAATTGAATCATTTGTTTTCAATTTGAATAATTCAGAGTTCAACACTAGGTCATGCAGCTGCATGCAAATGAAATAACTGTAATATAGTAGATACTCGTTTAAAACAGCATGTGCAATGGTTTTATATCTTTTGTGAAGGAGGAATTTCTGCTGCTTTTTCTATGCATTACGAGGAATAGAAACTAATCAACTGAATAGTTTCTAAAAACAAAGTATATTATCTATTTGATAACGGTATACCTCAGAACAGTTCACCCTCTTGCTTCTAATGACATTGGAGCGCAAAGAACAGAATGATTTCTTACTGATAGTTACATCACTAACCACTTTTTAGGTAATTGTTGCAAATTTGATTTGTATTCTATCACTTAAATGATTAAAGATAATATGAAAAAAATTTAAAATATAGACGTAATAACTTTAAGGTTATGCATTTTGAACCAATACATTTTGCTAAGCAACAATTTCGGGACCCACAAATCATGTTTTCATTTTCAGTCACCCTAATACTTGCCTGCTCATGGATAATGTCCGATAATTCTTTTACCATCTCTCTGAAATTTGACTTTAGCCCTTCATGGTATTCAACTTGATCTTCTTTAATGAGCCGCTCATTTAGTTCAAGTGCAATGCTGCATGCTTGTATGAATTTCCTATGGATGAATATCAAAGATAAAGGTTTTTGTATTTATTCTTAGGAAGTCTCACTGACAATCCATTTGATAACTCAGTTTAGCCATGGCTTGCCTAGAAGGAAGATCAGAATCTTATATTTTCTCACTGTGCATTTGTTAATGTCTCTTCCTAAGTTTGAAATGCCTTCTTTCCCTTCCACATTTGCCCTGTGATTTCGTTTCTTATCTCCTTTAAGACCTGGCTCCAGACACATACTCTCTGGAAAGCCTACTTGCTCAATCATTTACTTGGCATTCTATCAGCTCAGGTTGTGCTGACATTAATTTGCACCTGTAGATAATGAGTCATTCATTTAAAAAGAATTTATTTTGAGCTTACTATGTGGCTAGTACAGTGCTGCATGCTACAGGTATGAAGGATCTTCCCCGGGATGATAAGAAGGAGAACAGAGAGTTGATGACCTATCATAAAAGTTTTTTTCCATTATTTCATGTGTTTATGTTTAATGTCCACAATCAGACTGTAGGTCTTAGAGGACAAAGTACCTTATTGTCCATTTGTTTTATATCCTTGTCATAGCAACTAATAGTCTTTTGCATGTATCAAGCTAATGCCTGATAAATACTGGTGAATATATTACTACTGGTTACTCTGCATCCTGGAACAGCTGATAAAACACAGACAGGAAAAGTAAACAAAGTAAGTTGAGAGCAAATGAATGGATTGGTTATCATCTTTCTCCCTAGTCCATATTACTCAACTGTTTCTCTTCTTCTGAATGAAAACTTTTCTATATTAAAGATATTTCTGTAATAGAAGAGCATTTATACATGGCTTAGCTTTCAGAGCTGCTCACTGAAGACAAGATATTGCATGCCCTAGATTGGCAGAGTCCAAGTGTAAGTAAGGACAGGGGATTGGAGTGAGCCTATGCAATCTTTCCTGCCTCACTTTTATTCCTACCCCAAATGGTCTGAAATGCTGTAACAGGAGGTCAATTGGGTGAAGAAGGAAAGCACATAAGGAACATAAGCTTGTGTTTGCGTCACTTAAAATATCCAAAGCAATATATAGTAAACTGGCATATTTAATCTCTTGGGTCACTAGGGTATTGTTAATGTCCTGCAGGATGAAACAGATGACACATTTTCTCATTCCTCAAAGTGCCATTAGGAGGTCACTTAGATATTATAAAAGACCACAGAGAATGCCCCTTTTTGGAGAGGTATTATTTGGCACATATTTTGTTGTTTTTTCAAAGAAGAAAATAGAGAAAAAGAATACGGGTCTAATCTGAAAACTATAGAACACTTACCTAAACATGTCTTTCAACTCACTCACTTTCTTAGGTGGATACTTGCTAGCTTGGCTGTCATTTAAGAAAGCCCTTGCATACGCTAATGGACCAGCATTGACCTACATTACAAAAGAAGAAAAATGAGAGTGTTAAAGAAGTTTTGGCATTTCTCCTTTTTATTAAAAACTCAAAATATACAAGAAATCCATATCTGAGAAATATATGCTTATTACAAGTTTATTTCAAAAAAAAACCATTAACTAAAGAAAATAATCTACAAAGATGATATTCCAGTAAGTTAGTGATTTCTGATATGTACATACAGGGCTTTACTACAGTCATCAGACTTATGTTAAAGTCCTCTGACATAACACAAAACTTACAAAAGTTCAATGTAATACCTTCATTAAGTGAACAAAAAATAAGGCACAGGTTTTTGCCCTCAGTATGTGCGCAACACACAATTACAATTAATGCTTGCTCTGTGCCCTTATAAAAGCAAAAGAAACATGAAGAAACATTTAATACATTCTGGGCAACCAACATACCTGCACAGAAACACAGCCCTGCAATTTAAGTTGGAGCTGAATCATGTCCACGTCAGCAGAGGAGCAAAGCTTTTGCAGCTCTGCAGTTTTATCTTTTATTTCATCGGTGGCAACGTCAATTGGTTTTAAATTAATCTGCTGTTCACAAGTAATAGGAATCCTCTTCTTCACATAGGGAAATGAGTTTGAAGCTATTAAAATGTTAAGATTGATTTACTGTCTTTAAAAAATCATTTGTTCAAACAGCCAAATTAAAGAAAAAACTCTATTGTGCTTAACTCTCCCCACGCTTTATCTAGAAGATGACTTAGGGTCCCATATAGTACTTCAGGATTGACAGAGAACTTCTCTTTATGAGACACCTCTGGGCAATCATGGATGACATACGGGAAAATGATGGTTTATCACATGGTCGTGCTTGTGCAAACTTGTAACTGAACAGCAGAACAAAGAATGATTAAAATTTCAGTTATATGTTCCAGCTGGCCAGCTGCTACTTGTGTATACTGAAAAAGACCAAGACAAATAAGAAGTTAACATGCAGGGTTGTACTTACTTGTCAAGATTGTACGGCGTTTGCACTGTTCTTCTATACAGCCCTGTTTTTTTCCTGATAAAGTGTAAGGAGCCTCAAAAACAAATCTGCTGATATTATGATTTCTTTCAAACTCAGTCTTTCTTTCTGTGAGTTCTTTGTCATCAATGTAAGGCTTCACATAAGTAACTTGTATATGAGCATATTTTGGATCAAGCTCTTTGGCATTTACCTATAAAATAAGAAAGATCTTTTTTTTCTTTTAATTCAATGGAAGGGAAAAGGAGATATAGGTAACCTACTAACTTCTTAGAGACCAAGTGAGGAACATTGCCATTATAATTATTTTTCCAATCAAGGAGGTCTTCATTCTTCTTTTTAAAACTCACTTCTGATTATAAAGAAGTTACAAGGCCGGGCGCGGTGGCTCAAGCCTGTAATCCCAGCACTTTGGGAGGCCGAGGCGGGTGGATCACGAGGTCAAGAGATCGAGACCATCCTGGTCAACATGGT